AGTATTTAAAATGTATTTAGACATTAACACCTTATCAGATATACTATTTTTAAGTGTCTTCTCCTGTTTTATGGTTGTCTTTTCATTATGTTCATAGTGTCCTTTGATGCACAAGTTTCTAGTTTTGACAGAGTCAATGTATGTATTTTTGTTGCAGTGTTTTTGGTGTCATGGGAAAGAAATCTTTGCAGAATCCAATGACATGAAGTTTTTCTCCAATATTTTCTTCTAAATATTACTTTTGTAGTTTTAGCTCTTAAGTTTAGGTCTTTCGGCATTGTGAGTTCATTTTTCTGTATGATAAATAAGGTAAGATTTCCAACTTCATTTAGTTTTCCCAATATCATTTATTGGAAACAGTTGTCTTTTCCTCATTGAGTATCTTGGGACTCTTACTGAAAGTCATTTGACCCCATACGTGGGCCTTCAATTCTGTTCCATCGCTCTATAGACCAGTCTTCATGTCAGCACTACACTGTTGTGATTACTGTAACCTTATGTTATGCTTTAAAATCAGGAAGTGTGAGACTTTTTAACTTCATTCTGCTTTTTTAAGGTGTTTTTGACTATTTGGTTTCTCTAAAGATCCTGATTGAATTTTATGATGCATTTTTCTATTTCTAAAAAAAGAATCATTGAAATTTCCATCAGGATTGCATTGAGTCTATAGATGGCTTTGGGTAGAGGTGACCTCTTCACATGACTGTGGGATGTTTTTCATATTACTTGTGACTTCTCTAGTTAAGTTCAGTGATTTGGGTAGTTTTCAGCTTATAAGTATTTCCCAACTTGGTGATGTTTATCCCACAATGTGTATTTTTGATTCATTGTAAGTGAAGGTTTCCTTAAAGCCCCTGTAGGATAGTTTACCATTAGCATATAGAAACAGGAGTTTATAATGGAAACTGTACAACATCCCATCCCCACTGCCCCTTCTCTAGCAATCACACCTTCACTTTCTGTTTCTATGAGTTTGAAGTGGGATCATACAGTACTTGTCTTTTGTGATTTATTTATTTCACTTATACTGCGGCACACAACAGAATTCCCTTCCTGTCTGTGTTTCCTCTCTCAAGTCTCATGGAAGCATGGGTTGCTTTCCTCTCTTGAGCACTGTAAATAGCGCTGTGGTGATTGTGGGTATGCAGCTGTGCAGACAGCTTTTCCAGTTCTTGCTTTCAATTATTTTGGATGTAGACCCAATGGTGGGTTTGCTGGATTATACAGTAATTCTACTTTTATTTTTCAGGAACCTCTGTACAGTTTATGTTTTTCATAATGGCTTCATCATTTTATATTTCCAATAACACAGTTTCCAATTTTACCACATCTTCATCAACTTTATTTTCTGATTTTATTTTTACCATCCTAATGGATATTTTGTTTTTGAGATAGCATCTCGCTAGCTTTGCCCAACTGGCCTCAAACTTGTGATCCTCCTGCCTCAACCACCAAAGTATCTTGGGAGTACAGATGTGTGCCAGCATGTTTGTCTATTTAGCTTCCTTTAAATGTCTTTTTTTTTTCTAGTACTGGTGTTTGAACTCAGGGACTTGCACTAGGCAAGCATTCTACCATTTGAACTCGCCTATAATCACAGTACTTCCATCTCTGACTCCTAGGATTACAGGTGTAAGCCACTGTGCCTGGCTATTTATTTATTTATTTATTTTAATTTTTTTTTCATTTTTCTTTTATTATTCATATGTGCATACAAGGCTTGGTTCATTTCTCCCCCCTGCCCCCACCCCCTCCCTTACCACCCACTCCACCCCCTCCCTCTCCCCCCCCACCTCCTCAATACCCAGCAGAAACTATTTTGCCCTTATTTCTAATTTTGTTGTAGAGAGAGTATAAGCAATAATAGGAAGGAACAAGGGTTTTTGCTGGTTGAGATAAGGATAGCTATACAGGGCATTGACTCACATTGATTTCCTGTGCGTGGGTGTTACCTTCTAGGTTAATTCTTTTTGATCTAACCTTTTCTCTAGTACCTGTTCCCCTTTTCATATTGGCCTCAGTTGCTTTAAGGTATCTGCTTTAGTTTTTCTGCGTTAAGGGCAACAAATGCTAGCTAGTTTTTTAGGTGTCTTACCTATCTTCACCCCTCCCTTGTGTGCTCTTGCTTTTATCATGTGCTCATAGTCCAATCCCCTTGTTGTGTTTGCCCTTGATCTAATGTCCACATATGAGGGAGAACATACGATTTTTGGTTTTTTGAGCCATGTGCCTGGCTATTTAAATGTCTTAATTTTTCTGTGTCTTGCCACTGCTTCTTCTATGGGCCTTAGGTGTTCTGTTGTATTCCTCAGTAATTTCTTGCCTGGGTATTTTTGGACTTATGTTCTTGTGGGTTTCAGGAAACAAACCTGTATCCTAAGATTTGAGCTTTGCTGCCATGGAGTCCAGCGAGAGGGAGCCCTTGGACAGTTCATGTGCAGTGTTGTTTGCTATATTCTCACAGGTGTGTGGAATGGAAGCTCCCAGAGCTGTGTTGGGAGGCTGTGGACAAGAATAAGTAGAAATGCCACAGAATTCCTGTCGTTTTGATTTTGGGTTAGCATGACTGCTGTAGATCAATCTTTAATCTCCAGAGCTCCTGTCCAGTTATCCTGGTTGACCCTCATTACTTACCTATGGTCTGTGAGGGGATGCATGCCCAGAGCATCCTGATTCACCATCTTTCCAACTTTTCTCTTAGTGTATTATATTTTGATATTTACTCTTATTTCCTAAATTCATAATTTGAACACTTTTGTGCTAATGCCACAAAAAAGCCATAGGCTGACAGTTTGAATTTTCTCCTTTATGCCTATCTTTTGCAGTAGCTTTTCTGTTCTTCCCCAATGGATGATATGAGTTGTTCATATATTCTGAAAAGTATTCCTCTGTGATTATGTAGCTGCAACCATTTTCCTATATTGGTTCCTTGACTGTGATTACTTTTATGAGTTTTTATTAAGATCTTAATTTTAATATTGAATGTATCTTGTTTATTTTTATTATGTGTAATACATTTTCCTTTTAATGAAATTACCTGTCTTGGGTTGGAAGTGTGACTCAAGCAGTAGAGCACCTGCTTTGCAAGCTCAAAGCCCAACCCCACCAAAAAAAAAAAAATCAAATTCCCTATCCAATTTAGTGAAGATTTTTTCCTTGTACTTTTCATCATTTTTTTATGTCAATGCTGATTAGTCACCCGTGCTTCCTTCTCTCTTTGTTTATTAAATGTAATCTGTTAATGTTTTCCTTTGGATTTCAATTGTATTTTAAGACTGGGCACAGTGATTCATACCTATAATTTCAGCTACGTAGGAGACAAAGACATGATGATCATATTTCAAGTCTAGCTTGGGCAAAAGCAAGATCCTATCTTGTAGAATAAGCCTGGCATGTTAGTACATACTTCTAATCTCAGCAACATGTGAGACCGAGGTTGGATAGTGGTCCGAGACTGGCCCCTGAGCAAAAGCGGCTGGAGATGTGGCGCAAAGGGGTAGGGTATTTGCCCAGCAAGCACAAGGCCCCAAGTTCAAACACTAGTACCACCAAAAGAAAATTATTATTTTAACATTTTTTTCTCAGTTTCACTTAACAGAGAAAAAATGTTTTGGTATGTTTACTATGAGGAAAGAGTGCTGCAGGTAAGGCTGGTATTGTATGGTATTACACATATAGTATCATGACAGTTTTTAATTCTCGAAGTTATTAGAAGATCATATTGATAAGACGTTTTCCTGCTACTTCCAGTTCTGTTTGTGACAGTCAGTATAAGTATGTTTGCCTAGATTTCATGCAAAGTTCTCTCTGCATGCTAATAATTTAACACTTTCTATACCTTTATGTATGTGTGCTTTAAGAAACATTTATGTCTGATATGAGAGAACAGGTACTATGATCCCACTTCTTTGAGAAAACATACTGTGTTGCATCACTGAAAGTTTACTATGTACATTGCCAAGTTAAAGATTCTTGTTATTGCTAAAGCAAAAATGAAAAAGATAAAACTTTATTTAACCAATATTTTTTCTATCTGAAATTCTCCCCAAATAATACATGTATTAAAACTTGAAGAACTTTGTAGAATCTACTGTGGGAAATACTCCTCTGGGCTGGTAGAGTGGCTCAAGTGGTAGAGTACCTGCCTAGCATGTGTGAGGTCATGAGCACAGGTCCTGAGCAAGTGTGAGGTCCTGAGTTCAAACCCCAGTACCACCAAAAAAAGAAAAAAAAGAATGTGTGGAAATACTTCCTCTGAATAGACAAAGTACTCCTCAATTTCAAAAAAAAACACTTGAAAAGTAAATGATATAAAATTAGGTAGTATAGTAAGAGCCACAGTCAAACATACACACATTATTGAATAATGGTGCTGGCAAAGAACTTTATGTGGTGGCCCATACTAGCCATGCCTTAGAGGAGCTATTGACATAGTCTGGGGTCCTTAGCCAGCTACCCTTGCAGGAGGAGGAGGAGCCGGGACATCAGAGACCTCAGCCAGGTAGGGGCTTGGTGGCCCCACCTGACCTCTACGCTGCACCCATAGCAGATGAGGGGTGGAGGCAGCTGACTCAGAGTATGTGAGCTTAGTGCTTGCTGAGTGTCATGTAAGTTGTGTGATTTTCATCTTCACATTAATGTTGTGAAGTATTACAAATGAGGAAGGCAGAGGTTAGAGACTTGACTGCTTTACCTGGAATCCCAAAGTTAATCCCTAGCAGGTGGTATTGGATCTGGTTTCCTCCTGTGCTGCTTTCTATCATGTAGAGATAGCTGTGGTAATACATTTTTCGGACCATCCAATAAAGACATTTGATTGCACTTACAGTGTTGATCTCTTATGGTCGTACATATATATATTATATATATATATATATATTATATAATATATATATGTTATATGTATAACCTCAATTAAAAATTAAGGACCTTTAAGAAAACAACCTTCCATGACGTGTATCCTCCGTAAGCCAGCTGACAAGTTCATTCTTTATTCACAGTGATCTGCAGCCCTGGGTCTTACAACCCCCGCGATGGAATCCACTGCCTTCAGTGCAACAGCAGCCTAGTGTATGGAGCAAGAGCATGCTGATAGGCCATTATCGTTTGTTAGTCAGTGGTTTATTAAACACAAAAGTATATTTTTGAAATATGAAAATATAATAAATAACTATTATGCCAAAATTAAATGATCATATTTTACACAAAAAAGTGGTGTCATCATTTTAACCAGATGGTGTTCAAATCCTTTATGAGTGTGGACATTCTACCATATTTTTCCAATAATAGCGGACCTACATATGACTCCAAAATCTCTCTTGTATCACTGCATTTTAAAAATAGTTTCAAATATACCATATTAGATTAGCCCAAAAGATTTTTTAGGATTTTTCAAAAATAGCCCATTTTACCTTTATATTCACTAGATAGATTTATGTCACCATATTCTTCTGCAACAATTTTCGTTTCATCTTACTGTGTTCTTTTGATTTAATTTTATGGGATTTTTGTTACTCTAGGTTGACCGTTTACTGCTCAAAGCTAGTTTTAAGGCCTGAGTAATATTACTGCATTGTTAGCCTCTTCTGCGGAAGAGCTAGTACCAACCACACTGTGAGTTTTTAATACAGGTCAATGTGACTATCTTATACTTTCAATTTAAAGTCTCTTAAATTACCTCCTGAACATTTCAGAACAGAGTAATCATTGTTTATCCCTAAATTAACATTTGAACTTTCTCACTAGACTAAGCAGATTATTTCCTTGATAATACCTATAGGAAAAGGAATCAAACAATCATCATAAGTTTTATTTCATTTCCCTCACTATCAAAATGAGTGATGTCATTGCTGCCAGCACTAACACTTATTCTCACTCACATCGGGTTGTGATATTTGCATATGAAAACTTACCAAAAATTTAAAGATTTAAATACCAGGAAAATGCCTGGGTAACTTACAGTGTGAATAGTTTCTCAGTTTCTGATAAATTTGTACTCCTATCCTCTATACTCTCTGGGACTGTCCCTGTTTTGCCCTTCATATTTCTGTTCTTAAAAGGACATAAATATTTACAAATGGCAAACATAGCACAAGCTGGGTATAGGCACAGCTGAATGACACATTGACAGGAAAAGGTGTTTACACTTGTCAGCCTTCTTGTAAGATGGACTAGTTAATAGATAAGTTTCCTATTTGGCCATGCTGTGAACACACATAACTCCCAAATTCTCACACAAGTGCAAAGTGAAGATAAATGACGTCCACTTTGTTTTCAGCCCTGGTATTTTTATTTTTTACTTCCCTTGGGCTTTCATCCTCGTGATGGAATTGTTTTCATAGGGCTTGTAAAGGGTTTTGAAGCATCTTCTTTCCTTGGTTAGGTAACCCTTTCCCTTCTGTAAGTACTAGCATAGATGTTCTGTAAGAAGTGAGACCTAAGTCTCTATCTCTGAAAGCAGTACAACTTCCTGAATTTGTCCACATGTACTAAGTATACAATATAATTTGAGTATATTCTTTTCCTTTTTACTCCTTACCTTTGGCTTACTTTTTCTGATTATTTAAATATTTTTTAATATTTAGCTTATGGGATATTTTTGTGAGGCACAAAGAGCATCCCATCAGTAGTGACTCTGGGAAAGCCTAGGCAGAGTGATCATAGCCCTGGGCATCAGAGTCCATCCTGAAAGCATAGGGGATCTGGTGTAAGAATGAACAAATGATAGGAGGGCGGGTTTTCAATAAGTTCATGATTCTCTACCTTATACAAACAGACTTTTAAATGAAACTGCATAATAACAGAGGATAGAATAAGATAAGATACAAAGAGTCCAGGCAGAGAACAGTTGGTAGAAATTGAGGTGAAGGACAAAATAGAAGAAAAGAGACATTCATTACTTCTTTTTCCTGTTCTCATAGGGAAGTATTCTTTCTCTGTTGTATCTCTTACCACATTTATTTTTTTATATTTGTATTTCCTTTCCACTTTCAGTTTTACTAGGGTATTTCTGCTTCATAGCCTTCTTCCTAGGACATTGGTGCTTCATAATGTTAATTAGTAAAATTTACAGTCCTAGGAGTAAAAATGTTACAGTAATTAGGATAAAAGTTGCTTCTGTCATGATACCAGGTAGGATATTCACTATTGAGTATTGCTGAAAGTGGTAATAATGGGTGTGCTACAAATTGTAAACTGAACCCCGAGGTAACGTCATAAAGCTGTTTCAAGTGGTTTCTTTGTTTGCATAAAGGAAATGGCTTATGTTTATATGATGCCTTAATATACACAAAATGTTTTTATTACGTGAGCTGATGTTTTTACCCAACTCTGAAGTTAGAAGGGCAAATATGATTCTCATCTTGTATTTATGTCATTTTTTTTGTCTCACTGCAAGTATATAATTCACTAGGCAGCATGTAAAAAGAAGCAATAAGTTTGGTTTGGTAGTCACACTTGCTGGGAATTATCCTAAGGAAGAAAATCAGAGATCTGGTGAAATATTATGCCATATGATTAATGTAACATATTTAGTATATTATTCAATTTATATATGAAAAGAGAATTAACATAAATTACCTACAAGAGAGAAATGGTTGAATAAATTATGCTTTTTCCGTATTATGCAATGACAATGAGTCATAAAAATCATATTTTCAAATTAAATGAATTGTGATTCAATATATGTATTTATATTTTTATCTTCTGTATTGTCATCTGTTTTGTATAGATTTTTAAAACAAATGCATCAAAATGTTAACAGTGCTTATCTTGTGTAACGGATTGTGTGTGAGTTTTTTGATGCTTTCTGTTCTCCAAATGTTCCTCAGTGAAATAATTTACTCTCAGAATCTTGGGAGCAATAAACATACTTTGAAAAATTAAAGTAGTAGCAGTTCAGAGAAGACCTTATTATTGCTCATCTCTCCGGCGTCGCTTCCCTTCTTCCCTTCTTTCCAGCATGCACCAGGTTTGCTTGCCACAGAGGGCCATCGTTTTTAGCCATTTCGCACGTGACCTTTTTGGCTCCTGCTTTCTGCGACCCACCATGAAGTGAACCAGCCTCAGGAGGAAGCTGTTTCAAGTGGTTTCTTTGTTTGCATAAAGGGAATGGCTTATGTTTATATGACACACTGAGGACAGGTGCAGACAGCAAAAGAAGGGAATGTTGAGAACAGCTCCGAAACTCCACCCTCATTGGCCCCATGTTCCACCTTGCCCTGTATTTTCCAGTTCTGTGAGACAAGAAAGCTGATTGTGTTTAAGCAAGTTATGTTTTTTGGTTAATTGCTGCTAAAAGAATTCTGATTGATGCAATATTAATTATAGGAAATTTGTAAAGTTGAGAAAAATAGAATGGGAAATTACCAAGCAGTGTCATAATCCAGATACCACTTTTGTGTTAATTTTTTTTCATGCTGTGGAGCCAGTATTTCTCTTAATATTATGACATTAAATAGTATCTGTATACTATTTAGTTTCCTTCCTTCACTTGACTGTACAGACTATCATACCTAATTTATCCCAGTGAAAACACTGTAATATGGCTAAACATTTCAAGTTGTTGGAGCCTTCTGTTTCTTATGTTTTTTTTTAGTTATGTGTAGCATTATAGTTGGTGTCTTTGGAAAATTCTGTGGCATTTTTTTAAGTCTTCTTTATGCTAAATATCCAGAAGGAGAATTGCTAGGCTTAGCTATTTCTTATCCTTTGGACCTATCACTAAATTTTAAAACCAAATTATAGTACTACCAAGGACTTATCAGAGTACATATCTCACTGACCCTCCCATTGTCATTTTTAAGATTATTAGCTCGATAGAAGGAAATCTTTCCATATTTTCATTTTTGAGCATGAGTGAGGTTGAGTTTCCTCAAGCTGCTGCTGATAGCATTTACTGACTACTTAATGTATGGAAGGTGCTGTCTCAAACTTTTCACATAGATTTTCATATTTAATTTGCCCAGGTCTGACTTGCTACTACTGTTCTCATTTCATACATGAAAAAACCATGAGTCATGATGATTAAGTAACTTCACCAATATTGTTCAGGTAAGTAGTGAAGAGGGGTGCCGCTAAGGATTTGGTTCTGCTACACATTTCTAAGAGCCTCAACTCTGGTCTTAGCAGAAGAGTGACTCACATGGTTTCCTGACCTGTAGCCCTTTGGGCTCCTCTCCAACTCCATCCATATTGCTGCTTCTGTCCTCAGGGTTGCAGCTGCTGTTAGGCCTGCAGGCACTTCATTTGTCTTCCATTTCGATAAAAAGAAAATGAAAACCCTTTGTAAGACTTTGTTACATTTCATTGAAAAGAATAGTGTCACAGGCCTATAGTGTCACGTGACACTATGAAGGAGGATACAAGTGGATTTACTCATCTTTATTCACTTTAATACAGCAAAAAAAGGGGCCTAGACTTGGAATGGGTGTCAGATGGGCCACTTCCTTTAACTGGTCTCCATTGATAACACACCGTTCATATGTAGTATGCATATTATCCCCCACATGGAATGCAACCTCACTCTCCACCAGTTACTGCATCCAGGTTGAATTTCAGAATCATGGGTAAAATATTGAAGTTGACATTAGATCTGCAGCACCTGTGACCTATACTGTCTGCCTCCACACCACCTAACGGAAAACAGATGAGAAGGAAGGGAAACCTGAAAACTCCCATGCAGAAAAAGAAGGAAAGAGAAACTCATCTCAGTCACCATCCAGCTGGACAACACTGAGGTCTTCCTTTAGCTGCATAAGGTCTTTGACTGGTTCTGACTCTACAGTTGTCTTCCTTATGCAGGATATGTGTCTTTTTGAAAACTGCATTGGAGTTTCGGTGCACTATTTGAAGTCAGAGGCCTAGGAACACACTGTCATTGGGAGAATTTGGGCTTCTAAGGGGCTCTTCAGTTTTTCCTAAACAGTGGGGCTATGTCCCAAAAAACACATCATAGGTGGAAAGTTGAAAATGGATTGAATTTATCTAACCTACTTACTAAAACTAGGATTAACTTCTGGATGGCAAGGTAGTGCAGTGGTAAAGCTCACCAATTTCTCTTCTAGTGAGGCTGGAGAATAACAAGCCCAGATG